TTTAGGGTTTAGGGTTTGGGGCATGAGGGTTAAACAACCCTGGGCCCCTGAGCTTGACCAGTGAACTTCGCGTGAAATGCGGACATGCTCCGTGCAAAGGTACAGGATAGCGGCCAAGAAGTGTGCCAAATAAATTACATTGGCTCACGCCACCAGTGCAGCCACAGCTCTGCACCCTAGTTGGAGCAAGGGAACTGCCAGCGGAAGTACACTGTCAGTGGCATGACTCGTGTCCGCACCATTGCCAGCCAAACTCTCTTGGCCCCCGCGTTTTGCGTCCATAGATGCACAGAGCAGGGGGGGCTTTGAAACTATAAGGGGTATATGCGATTACGAAGGGTCATGGCGAATTATGCCAGGGGTGTGTAGGGCACATGTAAGGTCCTCTCTTGGGAACTCCCCTCCTCTGGCTTGCCTTACATAGACCCAAAAGATCTCTAAATGACAGTCTGCTTTGGACGAACACGTGGGGACTATAGGTGGACAGAAGTCTTTACCCCCCAGCCCTGCACACCAAAGCCTTTAAAATTGCAAAGTCGTGAATCCTAAACCTCAGAAATTGAAGCCACAAACCCTGAACCCCATGTATCATTCCAGGAGTCACCATCGACTTCAACACGGCGCAGTCATCTCTTATCAAGACATCAGGATCGGGATTCCTTGCATGCCAGGAATCCATAGGAGGATTTCTCAAAATGAGGATACCCTTAGTATCCCGGTAAGGGTGCATAGAGATGTAGAGGGGGAGAGTGGGGCGTAATAGCATCTTTGGAGGATTCTAGCGCTCACCGTTAATATGACATATGGTTGTCATTCAGAAATTCGCGGATCTACCAGCACTACGAAGAACATGCCCAAAGTCACCCTTCAGAAGACCAGACATGAACAAGCGCGGTCCCTGAATTCCCTTTCCTTGAATTGGATCCTGTCTACCAAGAATTCCAAAAACAGGTGTGTGAAGAGTTGGAACAAACTTGTGTAAATTTGGGAGGGGGGGGGGTGCAGAAGAAGTTCAGCATCGAACGAACGTCCAAGACAAGGGGGGCCTTTTGAGCAACAGCATTCCCCATATTGACTGTCCACCCTCTGAGGTCTATGTTCGTGGCAAATACTGAAAGTACCAATCCGCCAAGACGCCGCCCCCCCCAGCCCAGCGATTGCGAGAAGTCGTTTCCTGGCCGTCACCATTCAAACATGTTCTGAGCGTATGACTGAAGTTAGCATCTTTTTCCTGGTAATACTTGAGCACTATGACTGCCACGTTTGCTATGGATATTTTGCTCCATCTGTTTCAGCTCATGCTGTTTGGTACTGCAGTCTCTTGCTGCTATTGCAACTGTTGCTTTTGTTGCCAGTGATACTCCTCCTCTTCCTACCGCTACTACTACCACCAAACAGGGAGATTCTGTCGCTGTTGTCAGAATTCCTGCTCTCCTCGCCAGCAGGCGATTGAATGTGCCGTGGCTATTCTGGTGATCGCGACATTACGAGTACCATCACTACTCCCCACGCCACCAACTCTCCTGCTGCTACAATAGCTATCCCCACCACCACTAATCCTCCTACTCCTGCTACGTGTTCTTGCTTATCATTTTAACGCTTGAAGGCCAGAGAGCGTACTATTTTGAACGGTTTTGGCGCTCTATGTTTCTGACTTAGGATTGTACCAGGTTTTTGGTAACTTCAGCTCTGGAGTTTGAGCTGTAAAGCTTCTTGATTGAGGAGTTGAGGACTTTTTTGGGGTAGTATCTTTCGGGCTTAGGCTGTTACAATAGGGCTTCAAGTTGTTTAGTGCTTCAGGGTGAAGAGTTTCTGGGCTCACGCGCTTAGAGTCTGCGGGGGGCAGGGTTCAAAGGACAAAACAGGATTTAGGGATCCATGGTTTAGTTGCCCTCGCGTGGGTGGAAATCACCTGGCTTCAGGGTTGAGTGCCTTTGCCCCGTTCTAGGGTTGAAAGTTTTAGGGTTTAGGCCGTCCGCACTGACAAGCTGGGAGCAATGTGCCACATGAGCAAGTTGGCCCGGCCCTCAGAAAGAAGCGTCTGACAGGTCCGCCTGAGCACGTGAGAGAGAGAGAGGCCGTCCTGTTTTTGGATTTTGCTTTTCATGTGCTACCCAACCTGCACCCCCCACCCCCATTACTGCCGCCGCCACCACCACCACCACCACCGCCGCCGCTGCCGCCGCCGCCCCCCGCCGCCGCCCCTTTCACCACCACTCCTTTCACCGCCACCCCTTCCCCTCCCACCCCCTCCTCCATCCTTCCTCCACGCCCTCCTCCACCCCCTCCTCCACCCCCTGCACCATCCCCTCCACCACCAGCACTGCCACTTGTGTTTGTGCAAACAACATTGCAACCCAAACAAATGCTACAAGATGCTACTCGTACAAGTACTAGACTATTCCTTGCATTGCTGTTCTTCTTGTTTCCCATTATCTCTTCTGCAGTGGTATTTGTAGCTGTTACCCAGGCGGCCTGCAATGGCAGCTTGGAACAACAGACTGCTCTTGAAGCACGCAGCGCCTGTTCCCAATGGCAGCATGCCAATGTGCATGTTCTCGGTGTTGATCTTGTGATTGTGAGCTTCTTCAACAACCCACATGACAGTGCCATCGCCTGCCACCATTTCATGGGGGAGACAAAAGGATGGACTGAGAGAGGGAGATAGAGAGAGGGGGTGCCGAACAAGAGATAATGTAAACGCCTCAGGAGGGTCTCCTGGCGCCAGTCAAATGGGAGCTTGTGACCAAAAACAAGCATCGCGGCCTCCACCGACAATAACATGCACCCAGCCGCGATGGCTTAGCACATCTTTCATGTGCAGGAAGCCTTCCTTGTTGCCTGAGCGGCAATCTGAGAGCTCTTAAGGAAGTTACATGGAATTACCATAACAAGTCAATCCGATTCATGTACAATAGATGGGGGGTTCCGCATTTTAAAAGGGCACTTTTTGGAGGGGTCACTATACTAAGGACTCTAGTATTTGGGGGTCTGCGTTGGGGTCCCGCTCTTCATGAAAACTACCATGTCCATATTCCAGATAACTTAATGGATGCTCTGCAACAGCAACCCTAAACCCTAAACCCTTTTTTTTGAACCCAGACTCTGCTCCAGGGTAAGCTGGGAGGCTACCCTAAACCCTTTTTCCTGAACCCTAAACCCCACATCCCTGGCGAGCTCGACTCTTCCCCGGCTTGCCGAGCTGCCAGCTATTCCCTCCGTCAGGCCTCAGATGACAACCTAATGACAACCACTATACATGTATGGAATTGTATGGATATGTATCCAAGGCAAGTTTGGTTCTGAGGGTTCAGAGCCTAATACTGTTGCTAGCTGTATCAATTTTGCCATGGAAGGATTTGCATTTCGCTCTGCAAATCCTGGCCACTTCACACTAACAAAAGCAAGCAGGTTCAAAAAAGGAGTGTTTCCACCGATGCATCATGCTGGTGGAACATTCTCAGGCACCCTTCGACCCCAAGAATTGCACCAAGTGTCTGTACACATGCAACTTGGCATTGCTCGGCGACGCTGGTATTGGAACGGCCAAGGGCCGCGGAATTTTGTGAAGGGACTCAAGAAGGGCCTCAGCTGAAGAACATGAAGCGTTTGGACGCACGAACGTCACGGTTCAACCAACTGAGAACTGCTGATCGATTGCAACGTCTTGTGCAGCAAGTTTCTTTTCCGGCGAGACCACCAGACATAGGGTTCACAAAGAGAAACCTTGCAAATGCACATGTTGCTGAGTTATTCTGGTGCAACCTCTGTCTGAACGCGTCCGCGCCGCACATGCTCAAATCGATCATCATCGTCAGCCGCCATGAGCCTCGCAATGTAACGAGCAGATTTAGCCATATTGTTTGTCAAGATGGCTTTATGCAGAACTTTGTGACAGGGTGAGGTGGGGATTTACGGGGAACTTTCGGACCCGGGCATAAAATGGGCAACCGTTCTGTGGGAATGTGGAAATCCCAGCAGGCGCTTCAGCAGCCAGCAGCCCCAGGCAATTCTTTTGTTTGGCCGACAGGCCTCTGCAAGGATCACAGCTTAGGCCGACTTAAGCCAAACACTGCGTTGAGCAAGTACCCGGGGTCTTATTGGGACAATGGAAAAGAAGATGGAAACTACTATAGTACATTGGGGTTATATTGGGACAATGGAAAAGATAGTGTCGATACTGAGGATCTTACATGGCCCTTGGTATACTACAATGTAGGTGGGGTCATGCACGATTTTTGCGTCAACAGTTGTGGTCCCGCATCGCCTAGCAGAAAGATCAAGGAATTCCTGGGCGTGATCGCAATGTTCCCGTATTCCTGCTACCCAAAGGCGGAAAATGCAATCATGATGTCAAATCCAAGTGCTGACAATCCAAAAGCAGACGTCAGCTGTTTTAGGCACAATAAATCGTCACGGCTCTGCCTGCACAGAACCACAAGACAAAAAATGAAACAAAGCTCACCTGTACATACTCTTGTTACAAAAATCCTGCATGACTTTAGTATTCCATGGTACCATAATTCCCTAGGTGCAAGGTATGTAGGGGCATACAGGATTTTTAGTATCCATCGTGGTGCTGCCTTAGGCATGCACACGCTGCATAAATCTGCCCCGTTTCCAAGAGCAAAACTGATGGCCATTCCTCCTTCGAGCGAATGGCAATGTTCAGCAATCAACTCTGGAGTTTGAGATGGTAGATTTGCTGGTTGTTTGTAGGGAATTGAGGAATGGAACAGCAAAGAAAAAACAATTTCATTACTGGGGATTTCATAAGCACTACCATAGAGATCCACTCCGCCATTCCCGACGAACACCAGGAAGTAGAGGTGGCTGGAGCAAACTTGGTCGTCTCGCAACTTGAAAGGGCGAAAGCGGAAATGTTCAACGCAACAGGGTGGGCATGCCACTCAGGTGTCGCGGTTGCTTCAGACATAGGGAGCCTGCTGCTGCCTCAATCAGCTTGAATGTCGTGTTTTTTAGAACAGTCTATGCGAGGCAAAGCAACATACGAAATCCGGAGCTGTATGCTGGCATGTTACGCATGACCTAGGCCACTCATTGGTGCTTGCATGGCTGGAGCCATCGGCGCACCATAGAGATTCGCTGAAGCTGGATAGGCTTGATAGGCAGGGTTGCCCTGGCAGGGAATGCAATCATCCTATTCAGCTTTACCTAAACCCTTTTTCTGTAGACACTATGGTAAACCCTGAAACCCTACAACCCTAAACCGCTTTAGCACACGTTGAGCTCGCCTGGCCGTAAGGATCATATCCATTGGCTGGCATCGCCTGAGGGTAGCCTGGCTCAGATAACCCCTGTCAGAAACCGCTACCCAAAACCCTCAAAGGGATCCAAAAACTCGATCTCCCGGAATCTTGCGGGGAATCAGTATATGGTAATTTCCTTAAATAGGCAACCCTAAAATCGACCCCAAAAAACTAACAGCCCTGTTCTAGGTACCCCTAATTTGGGGAAAGCCCCCATACAGGGATTCTACAGGGGCAAGGGTTGGTGTATAGAGGGGGTCGAATTCTCAGCCCCAAACCCTACACCCTAAACCCTACACCCACCCTACACCCTAAACCCTTTACCCCAAACCGCGAGCGGGCAGGGGCAACCCGCCTTGCTCTGCTTGATAGGCCACAGGCCTCGGCTTCTTGCTCGGTATATGGGGATTATAGAGGGACTATTATAGGGATAGAAAGGGCTTATATGGGGTTCAATGGGTTCTAGAGGGAGGGTTATCAAGGGATTACATAGATTACATAGGATGTAGGGATATTACTCCAAAAAATGCCGACTCAAATGGAAAAGAAAATGTAAAATGAAATGGAAACTGCTATCAATGCTTAAGGCTTGGGGTTTCTTACAGAACCTTTGGTTGGTAGGGAATGAAAGACGGAACAAAAAAAGAAAACTACCACTGAGGGAACTGAGGAATGGAAAACTGCTTCACTTCCGGGGACTGCAGTAAAGATTCATTCCTTCATGTCTTCATCCCTTCTAGACAATGGCAAGTACTTGAAGGGTCGGGGGGACTTAGGGATAGGGGTACACGGTTCTGTAGGGGTAGGAATATGCAAGGATTGCAACTTAAGGGATTAATTGGGGTGTACTTATGGGTAGGGGGCCACTTGGTAATTGTACTCGCCCGATAAGCCATGTAATAACCATGGCTATCTGCGTGGTGAACCTAGTTACAAAGATTCCCTGACCCTCCAAGTAGCAAATGGCACATAATTAGCACCTAAAGAAAACTCCAAACAAAAATCTTCCGACAAGGGGCGCAGGAGACTGCGGATAGGACATCGGCATCTGCTGGTTCATGACGAACTGATCCTGTTCTTGCCCTCTGTCCTGCGGCCAAGGAAGTGTGCAAACTTCTGGCAGGTGCGTCCTGCCAATGATGCTTCCCAGCTAACACGCAGTCCCTGTTCCACCACGCCATCATCATGAGCTTATTCTTTCCTCAACAACTCTTCCAGGGTGGTAACACGAACTCTCATCTGCAATGAGATTGAAATCTGCACAGTGCATCCAAGCAGCGTTTTTCAAGCTTGTGTTTTTCGGCATCAAAGGAGCGCACGAGCGGCATAACCAGCCAGCCAAAGACAAGGCTGGACACAAACAAGGTGAGGCCACCGTACAAGTGCAAGAACCAGCCTGGGGTCCACAGCAAACACCGGAAGCAGGGGGGAGGGGAGGGGGGGGGGGCAGATTTCACATACATGGAGTGGCCCAGGCACCAAGGGCAAGGTCTGGATACGGATACCAGGCATCTTCACCCAAATTGGAGAACGCCAGCCAAGTCACAACAGCCTGAATCACCGCCATCTAGTAAGCTGTAAAAACATGAGTTGCTGGTATTGCATTACACGGCCAAAGCTACACCCGATTGCTGGCGCCAAGCTACCCACACCACACTGGAGATCGTGGAAAGAAAGCCGGAAAACAACAAGAAACCATAGGCACAGCCACCTGTCGCTCAACGCTGCGATCATCAAAGCTCATGCTTGATTCGACATGCATATGTCCAAAGGAACCCGGACGTGCCTAATCGTTTTAAGCTTCCGAATGTCGCCATCAGCACCCCGAGAAGTGACATAATGATCCTGGCGTGGACCAAGCTGGCACTGTGCAAACCGAAGGCTTGCCTAACACTAACACAACCCATGCCCGCTGATGCCAAGCGTCGTCAGCAGGGAAATAACCAATACGACCATGCTAACCTGGCATTGGGAGCATTTTTCCCACGTGCAAGCTTGATCTTGCAGATAGCCAACTGTGCCCCCACCCTAAGCCTTAAACCCTCAATGCATTCCAGTGGCTGTGTGAATCCTGTCGTACTCCTTGCATCTCATGTACACATGGCTTGTGAAGCCATGCCCACATTTCTCGGACCTGATCGATCTCAGGTTTTCCTTCTGGATGCCCGGAGGAGGTTCTCTAACCAATACGATTGGGACAGGGGTTTCTTGGAGGAGTCCAATATGTCGGGGTGGGCACTGGGGTTCCCTTTTCTGGAACAACCGCATCCTTGGCGTGGAACAAGCAGCGTAGGAAGCATTATCACGATGTCCCGACGTGGCTCAAATGAACGAGACGCCGAAAGGGAAGCGTGATTCGGATAAAAGAAAGGCGTGAGTCAGACGAGAAAAAAGGGGCGGCCGAACGCAGCTCCCGAACTCAAGTCGCAACACGCCATCACAGGTCATGGATGGCGCAGGCATGGAACAGAGCGTAAAAGGCGACAAGAAACGCGACAGAGTGAAAAAAAAACTCGCTGCACAGGCCATATTATTTGTAATTATGCTG